CCCCCTGGGGCCCCTTGGGGGCCCCCCCCTGGGGCCCCATGGGGGCCCCCCCCTGGGGCCCCTTGGGGGCCCCCCCCTGGGGCCCCTTGGGGGCCCCCCCCTGGGGCCTCGGGGGCCCTCCCGAGCAGCCCCTCAGGGGGTACTCCCTGCGTGTTTCGTAGGGGGGCCCCCCTTGAGGCCCATGCAGGGACTTCAACAGCACCGGGGGGGCCCCCAGGGGGCCCCCATGAGGCCTGGGGGCCCCCAGGGGCCCCACAGGCCTCTGGGGCCCCCGGCTCTGTCTGGGCTGTGTTGATGAGCCAATAGGGGGGTTTGTAAACCACCTGAGACCGGGGACAGAGCAGCAGCAGCAGCAGCAGTAGCAGCAAGACGCAGCAGCAGCAGCAGCAGCAGCAGCAGCAGCAGCAGCAGCAGCAGCAGCAGCAGCAGCAGCAGCAACAACAGCAGCAGCAGCAGAGCATCTACACTCACTAGATAGTCAAAGGTCTCAGTGAGGGCCCTCGGGGTTTCTTTCTGGAGGCCCCCTGTGGGGCCCCCCCACCTTGGGGAGAGAGTGTCCCCAGCAGCACTGTGCTGCTGCTGCTGCTGCTGCTGCTGCTGCGGGCTTGGCTGCTGTTCGGCGTGCTGCTGCTGCTTGCTGCTGCTGCTGCTGCTGCGAGCAGCAAGCTGAAGAGCAGCAGCTGTGAGGCCCCTAAAAAGATAAGGAGAAAGGAGACCCACGCAGCCCAAGCAGCAGCTGAGTGACCACACATCTCGCAGCGACGCTGCTGCTTCTGTTTGCTGCTGCTGCTGCTGCTGCTGCTGCTGCTGCTGCTGCTGCTGCTTCCCCCTGGGAGACCCGGAGGGGCCCCCAAAGACCAAAGCACGGGGGCCCCCCTTCTCCAGACGCCGCCTTATCTCTCGGCAGACTGAATGCCAAACAAGGAGAGCTGCATGCATGTACCTTTGCTGCTGCTGCTGCTGCTGCTGCTGCTCCCGCTGCTGTTGCTGCTGTTGCTGCTGTTGCTGCTGCTGTTTGTGCTGCTGCTGTTGTTTGTGCCGCTGCTGTTGCTGGGTTTGTGCTGCTTTCTGCTGCTGCTGCTTTTGCTGCTGCTGAGTTTGTGCTTCTTTCTGCTGCTGCGGCTGCTTCTGCTGCTGCTGCTGCTGCTTCTGCTGCTGCTGCAAAGTGTGTGGCTGAGGGCCCCCCTCAAAGAGAGCTAGGGCCTCCTTTTGCTGCTTCCTTGCCTCTTGCTGCAGCAGCGCGGCCTCCTGGGGGCCCCCCTGAGCCCGCAGCTGCTGCTGCAGCAGGGGGCCCCCAGCAGCAGAAGCAGCAGCACGCTGCATGCCGATGCAGAGGCCCGCCAAGTCGCGCAGGGAGGCCTCCGCCAGAAACCTGCTGCTGCTGCTGCTGCTGCTGCTGCTGCTGCGGGAGGGCATTTTGGACAGCAGCAGCTCCGGAAGAGACACAAAAAGGGCCTCAGGGAAGGTCTGGTGCTGCGATGCTGCCAGCATTGCAGCAGCAACATCGCGGCAGCTCGGCAGGGGCCCCCGGGGGGCCCCCCGAGTGGGGGCCCCTATGGGGGCCCCTATGGGGGCCCCTGGGGGGGCCCCTATGGGGGCCCCTGGGGGGGCCCCTATGGGGGCCCCTGGGGGGGCCCCTATGGGGGCCCCTAGGGGGGCCCCTGGTGGGGCCCCTAGGGGGACCCCTGGGGGGGCCCCTGGGGGGGCCCCTGGGGGGGCCCCTGGGGGGGCCCCTGGGGGGGCCCCTGGGGGGGCCCCTGGGGGGGCCCCTGGGGGGGCCCCTATGGGAGCCCCTGGGGGGGCCTCTGGGGGGCCCCCAGCAGCAAGGTGGGCCCTGCGAAGGAACTCTGCTGCTGCTGCTTCACAAAGGCGAGGAGAAAGGTGAGCAGCAGCAGCAAAAGCCCAAAGCACATTTCCTATTTGCTGCAGCGAGAGTTCACAGAGGGCCCCGGGGCCCCCGAGGGCCCCCAAGGCCTTTTCGCAAAAGGGCCCAAATACAGCTGCTGCTGCTGCTGCTGCTGCTGCTGCTGCTGCAGCGGGGGGCCCCCTCGGGGGGCCCCTGGGGGGCCCCAGTAAGGGAACGGCTGCCTCCGCAGATGCTGCTGCGGGCCCCTGTTGAGGCCCAGAGGCATGTTGCTGCTGCTGCTGCTGCACAGCAGCAGCAGCAGCAGCAGCAGCAGTAACTGGCTCGCCGGAGGAAGCTTCAAAGGGACACGGCAAAGGAGGCCTCGGGGATGCCTCAGCAGCAGCAGCAGCAGCAGCAGCAGCAGCAGCTGGTGGTGCTGCTTCTGGTGCCAGTACTGCTTCCCCATCAGGCCCTTTAAGCTGCTGCTGCTGCTGCTGCGCCTCCAGCTGCTGCCGCTGCTGCACAGCTAGTTGATGCTGCTCTTGCTGCGGCACCTGCTGCTGTTGCTGTTGCTGCTGCTGCTGCTGCTGCTGCTGCTGCAGGGCCCGCACGTTGTTCTTTTGCACTTGGAAGAGAGCAGCAAGGGTTTGCTGCTTTGCTGCTGCTGCAGCGGGGTGTCTGTACACCCCAGCTTTTGCTACAGCCCATATCAGAGTGGAAAGGCCCTTCACTTCAAAAGCCTTTTGCTGCTGCAGCAGCAGCGCAGCAAGAAGCAAAGACACAAAAGTCTCTTTCAGGGTTTCCTGCAGCTGCTCCCGAGCTGCTGCCACCAGCTGCTGCTGCTGCTGCTGCTGCTGCTGCTGCTGCTGCTGCTGCTGCTGCTGCGGCAGTGAGACGACGAAGGCGGCGCTCGAACGGTCTGCTGCAGTGGCCAGGCCCCACGCAATGTTGCAAATGTCTACAGGAAGCAGCAGCGGCTGCTGCTGCTGCTGCTGCTGCTGCTGCAGTTGCTGCTGCAGGAGAGGCCGCAGCACAGCAACTGCAGCAAGGGCCAAGGGGAAGTCGCATGTGCCGAGGGCCCCTAGGGCCCACAACGTGTTGGATACGAGCTGGGGGGTGCTGCTGCTGCTGCTGCTGCTGCTGCTTTTGCTGCTGCTGCTGCTGCTGCTGCTGTTGCTACTGCTGCTGGCTGCAGCCGCTGCTTCGAAGTGCTGCAGCAGTTTGCTGCGGAGAGCGCAAAAGGCGCTGCTGCTGTAAAGATGCCGCAAAAAGGTGGGCATGGCGGGCGCCAGGAGAAGCTGCTGCTGCTGCTGCTGCTGCTGCTGCTGCTGCTGCTGCTGCTGCTGTTGCTGCTGCTGCCCCCGCCGCCGCACGGTTTGCTCAGCCACTGCAGCGACGAAGCCAGGCCCAGCAGCAAACGGTGCTGCTGCTGCTGCTGCTGCTGCTGCTGCTGCTGCTGTTTCTTGCTGCCTTCGTAAACGGCCCAGCAGCAGAAGGGCTGTGGCGCAGTGGATTTCGTCGAAGGCCTTTATGTGTTCTTGTGCGTACTGCAGCACAGCAGCAACTGGGTGCCTCTTGCTGCTGCTGCTGCTGCTGCTGCTGCTGCTGCTGCGGGCTTTGGGGGGCCCCCCACGCGCCAGCAGGCCAGCCATCAGCTGCCGGGCATTGGGGGGCCCCTCAAAGGCGCGGCGCCGCATTTGGGGAGGAATTAATTGCTGCAGAAGTGGAGGCAACGAGGCTTCCTCGGAGCTGCTGCTGCTGCTGCTGCTGCTGCTGCCTCTGCTGCTGCTGCTGCTGCTGCTGCTGCTGCTGCTGCTGCTGTCCGGCTCGGAGATACGGCGAACTGCGCAAAATGAACGCTCACAGGGGGGCCCCCTGTGGGCCCCACAAAACGAGTGAGGGGGGCCCCCCTGTGGCTGTGGGGAAAAGGGGTTAGTCAGCTGGCCCCTGCTGCTGCTGCTGCTGCTGCGGCTGCTGCTGCTGCTGCTGTGTCTGCATTTGCTGCTGCGGGGGGCCCACTGTGGAGGCAGCAGCAGCCGCAGCTGCAGCAGCTGAATCTCAGCTGCTGCTGAAGAAGCCCCGAGCAAGGGGGGCCCCCAGGGTCCCAGCAAATGGGTATTCGGGGGCCCCCAAAGTGCAGCAAGGGGCCCCAAAGGGGTCCTGGGGCCCCTCACCATGGGGCCCCCTCAGATCAGCAGCAGCAGCATGTGATGGGGCAAAGGACCCTTCGGGGGCCCCCGGGGGCCCCCTGAGAAATGGCTTCTGGGGGCCCCCCGGGGGCCCCTGGGCCTCAAGAAGTCCGCAGCAGCAACACAGGCAGCAGCAGCAGCTCTGGGGGGGCCTTGTGGCGTCTGCTTTACTCAGTTTTCATTTAAAAGTTGAAATATTTAAAATTAAAGATATTTATTACCTAAAATTTGCCTCCTAGCGGCCCCAAGGGGCCCCCCAGGGGCCCCCTAGGGGCCCCCGGAGGGGCCCCCGTGGGGCTGGACCCTTCTGATGGGGCCCCCCGGGCCAGTTAGTGGCTGCTGCTAGGGGCCCCAGGGCTGCCAGAAAATCCAAAATTGAGGCTTTTAAAGTTTTAATTTTGTTTATTTTACTTAATTTCATTTTAAGTCCTTTAAACGAGGTGAAATCCACTCAAAGAACAATGGACCAATGGTCAGGTGACCCGGGGGCCCCCCTGGGGGCCCTACTGGGGCCCCCCATGGGGGCCCCCGCCGGTTCCTTTGGGGCCCCCTGGTTTGGGGGGGCCCCAAGTGCTGTTGTAGGGACTCAGGCGTTCCCCGTTGTCCACTAAGTAGCTTCTCTAGAAACCCTAAACCCTAGGCTTTGAAGGGTCCTCTAAACCCTAAACCCTAGGCCCTGGGCAGGCCTCTAAACCCTAACCGTAAGCCCTAGGCTCCAGACGAGTCTTCAAACCCTAAACCCTAGCAAACGAGTTTCCTAAATCCCAAAAACCCCGGGGCTTCAAACGAGTCTTCAAACCCTAAACCCTAGGCTTCAAACGAGTCCTTAAACCCTAAACCCTAAACCCTAAACCCTTAACCCCAGCCTCTCCCAGGGCTAAAGCCTTAAGTTCCCTAATAGTCTCCATGCTTCTTCTTCCGCCACACAACGGGGACCTTTGGTATGGGCCCTGTGCCCAGCTGGCTGACCTGGGGGCCCCCCTGGGGGCCCCCCTGGGGGGGCCCCTGGGGGCCCCCTTGGGGGGCCCCCCTGGGGAGCCCCTGGGGGGGATCCTGGAAGGCCCCCTGTGGGGGCTCCTGAGGGGGCCCCTGGAGGGGCCCTTGGGAGGGGCCCTCAGGGGGCTCCAGAGGGGGCCCCTGGGGGGCCCCCTCGGGGGGCCCCCCCAGGGGCCCCCCTCGGGGGGCCCCCAAGGGAGCCTTGCAGGGGGCCCCGGGGGCCCCCCGGGCCCCAAATATTGCAGCAGTCAGCTGCAGGAATTGGGGGGGACTCAGGGCCTGGGGCCTCAGGCTAGCGAACTGTGGGGGTACGGGGGCCCCTGGGGGAAGAATGGGCTAAAAGGAGGAAAAGAAAAAAAAAGAAAAACTTTAAAACTTTAAACATCCAAACATTCCGCCAAACCCTTGACCCTAAACCCCAAACCCCAAACCCTAAACCCTAATGAGCCCCTGAAACAGCGACAGTTGGGGCCCCGCAGCAGCAGCAGGGGCCCCACAGCAGCAGCAGGGGCCCCGCAGCAGCAGCAGGGGCCCCGCAGCAGCAGCAGGGGCCCCGCAGCAGCAGCAGGGGCCCCTGGGGGGCCCTAAAGGCCCGCGCAGCTGCTTACCTTCAGGCTTTGTCTCAGCATCTTTCGTCGCTGTCCAAAAGCAGCAAACAGGACCTGCAGCAGCAGCAGCAGCAGCAGCAGCAGCAGCAGCATCGCGTGAGCGGCAGCAGCAAACCGCCTGAGCGGGGCCGCTTCGTGCAGCAGCAGCAGCAGCAGTTGCGCTAGCTGCCTCAGCAGCAGTAGCAGCAAGACGGCGCGCAGCAAGTGCAGCAGCAACAACGCAAGGTGCAGCACAGGAGCAGCAGCAGCAGCAGCAGCAGCAGCTGCTGCTGCTGCTGCTGCTGCTGCTGCTGCTGCTGCTGCTGCTGCTGCTGCTGCTTCACGGACCTTCTTGAGGTCTCTTGCACAAACTCCCCCAAGAATTTCTTCGTCGCTTTCGTGGCGGAACTCAACGCGCACCACAGCAGACTCCACCTGCGCACAAACCCTAAACCCTAAACCCTAAACCCTAAACCCTAAACCCTAAACCCTAGAGCGTGCAGCCTAAACAGCAAACCCTTGCAAGCAGCAAACCCTTGAGTGGTTTATGCTAACAGCGCGGGCTAGAGTGCAGCAGGGCCTCGAGCTGCGGCCGAGCTGCTGCCACTGCAGGCCCACGGCCTAGGGCCTAGGGTTTAGGGTTTAGGGTTTAGGGTTTAGGGTTTAGGGTTTGCCTTGGGCTGGGGGTAAAAGGCCTTCGAGGGAATGCAGAACAGCAACGAGGGTTTTGCAAAAAGACAAAAAGCCACACTCAGCCGGCAGTAGGCGAAGTCCCCGGGCTTGGCCACCAGCCGCTGGGCAAACAAAATAAATAATAAATAATAAATAATAAATAAATAATAATAAATAATTAATAATTAATAAATAATAAATAATAAATAAATAATTAATAATTAATAATAATAATAATGTTTAGTGCTGGGAGGGCCTCTGCAGAGGCCCCTTGGAGCCACCCATGGGGGGCCCCAGGGGGCCCCGGGGGCCCCTGGGGGCCCCCAAGGGCACCTGGGGGCCCTTAAGGGCCCCTGGAAGCACTTAGGGGCCCCTGGAAGCCCATGGGGGCCCCTGTGGCCCCTAAAAACCCCTGGGGGCCCCTAAAGGCCCCTGGGGGCCCCCAAAAGCCCCTGGGGGACCCTAAAGGCCCCTGGGGGCCCCCAAAAGCCCCTGGGGGCCCCTGGGGGCCCCCAGAGGAGATTTTGGGTTTACCTCGGCCACCTCCTTTTGGAGTGTCACTACAGCTAAGTCGATATATTGGCGGCAGTCCAGCAGGCAAAAGAGCAGCTGCAGCAGAGAAGGCCCCATCTCAAGTAAACCCTAAACCCTAAACCCTAAACCCTAAACCCTAAACCCTAAACCCTAAATCCTAAACCCTAATCCTGTCTATTTGGGGGCGTCGCCACGTTAGAACCGCCCCGAAGGAACCAAAAAAGGGTTTAGGGTTTAGGGTTTAGGGTTTAGGGTTTGGGGAGTACTTGGCTCGTGAGGTAAAAGGGAAGATTGCCAACAATGCGCAGACGATTCATGTGGTGCGCGAGATACGGCCAGTTGACCTGAGTCCAAACCCTAAACCCTAAACCCTAAACCCTAAACCCTCAGCCCTAAACCCCAAACCTAAACCCTAAACCCTAAACCCTTTGCCCTAGACCCTCAGGCGCGCTCTAGCAGCCGAGCCGAAAGACTCCAGCGTCTCGTGACACCCTCGGACTGCTCCCAAGCCCCAAACCCTAAACCCTAAACCCTAAACCCTAAACCCTGAACCCTAAAAGGGTACCTGCAAGACATCCTCGTGCAGCATCTGGAGGCCCGGAAGCCTTTGGCTGAGGAGGGAAATGGCCCTGGGGTCTATTTCCACAGCTGCGAAAAATAAAACAAAATTAAATTTAATTAAATTAAATTAAATTAAATTAAATTAAATTAAAAGTAAATAAAATAAAAAATAAAATAAAAAGAAAACGAGATAAAAGAGAAACGAAAGAAACTCCAGCACACACCCGGGCCTGGCATCAGCAGCAACAGCAGCAGCAGCAGCAACAGCAGCAGCAGCAGCAACAGCAGCAGCAGCAGCAGCAGCGGGGGGCCCCCACAGCCCGAAATAATCAAACAGAAGCAGCGCGAGGGGCCCCCGGGGGCCCCAGAGTCCCCAAAGACACACATGGGGCCCCCCGGAGGCCCTGGGGGCCCCCAGCAGCAAATAGTGGGGGCCCCCGGGGGCCCCGGGGGCCCTGGGGGCCCCCAGCAGCAAAGAGGGGGGCCCCCCAGGGCCCCGGGGGCCCCCAGCAGCAGCAGGAGGGGCCCCTCACCAAGCATGTCAGGGAAAAGAGGGTACAGCAAACGGGTGAGGGCCCCCGTCCCGGGGCCCACCTCGACCACTCTGCTGCTGCGGCGCCCTCCTTGCTGCTGCTGCTGCTGCTGCTGCTGCTGCTGCTGCTGCTGCTGCTGCTCGCGCAGGTCTGCTGCAGCAACAGCAGCTTTAAATGCCTTTACTATTCGCCGACAGATGTTGGAGTCTGCCAAAAAGTTCTGACCCAAACTTTGCTTCGGCCTGCGCCCAAACAAAACCCCAAAAAGGCACTTTGGGGCCCCTGGGGGCCCCTCGGGCCCCTGGGGGCCCCCTGGGGGCCCCCTGGGGGCCCCCCAGGGGCCCTAAAAGCCCTAATAGAACTCACAGGGGGCCCCTCAAGTACCTACAAGGGGCCCCCTGAGGGCCCGCAGGGGCCCCTCAGAGGGCGCACAGGGGCCCCTTAATGGGGCCCCCGGGGGCCCCTTGGGGGGGCCCCCAGGGGGGCCCCCCAGAATGCTGGGGGGCCCCCCTTGGGGGCCCCCCAAGGGAGCCTTTTGCTGTAAGTGACTCACCGGAACTCTCCGCGAGGCAGCCGAGCTGTGGGCGCCCTAGGGGGGCCCCCAAAGGGTACAGGGGCCCCCCGGAGGGGCCCCCCAGCCCCCTGCACTGCAGCAGCAGGGGCCCCCAACTCTGGGGCCCCTTCTTCTAAAGGAAATATCTCAAGATTGTCCCAGGGGCGCAGAGCGGGCCGGGGGGCCCCTGGGGGCCCCCCTGGCATCCCTCCTGGGGGCCCCCTGTGGGGGCCCCCGGGGGCCCCCTCTCCTGAGGGGCCCCCAGCCGGGGCCCCTGAAGGGGCCCTCGCGGGGGGGGCCCCCAGCGGGCTCTTCCAAAGGAGCTGCTGCGTTGGGGGGCCCCCGCTTGGGGGCCCCCAAGACCACTTTAAGGGGCCCCAGGGGCCCCCCAGGGGGGGAGAGGGGCCCCCTCTGCAGAGGGGGGCAGTTGGGGACAGAAAGGAGGGGAAAGAAGGCAACTGCTGCTGCTGCTGCTGCTGCTGCTGCTGCAATGTGCAAACATCTGAAGGGAGGACTGCAGCAGCAGCAAGCGCCACCCAAAACCCCAAAAGTGAACCCCCCAGGGGCCCCATTAAGCGTAGGGGGCCCCTGGAGTCTGTGGGTGGGTGGGGGCCCCCCTAAGGGCGAGCGCAGCTGCTGCAGCAGGCCATGCTGGGTCTAGGGGCCCCCCGCCCAGGGGCCCCCCTGCAGGACTTGGGGGCCCCTGCAGCTCCAGGGGCCCCCCAGAGCCCCTCAGGGGGCCCCCCAGACAGCAACGTCAAAGAACGGAGGAGGGAGGGGCCCCCGAGGGGCCCCACAGGCAGAGGCAGCGGAGCAGGGGGGCCCCTGGGTGTGGGGCCCAGTCGGGGGGCCCCCAGCGAGGCTGCAGCAGCTGGCGCTGCAGCAGGCCTGCAGCAAGGGTTTAGGGTTTAGGGTTTAGGGTTTAGTTTTGTTTACTTTAGTTTTTTAAAAGCAAAATCAAACCAAACTTCGAGAAAAACTGCCAGATGAAGAGAGGCATCCTCAGCTGCTGCGCTGCTGTCGTTGCTGCAGTCGCGCGGCGGCCTGCTGCTGTGTCTGCTGCTCCTCCATCTCACTCCATTTCTTCTTCTTTTATTTCTAATTTGTTTATACCCTCTCCTTTGCTGCTTCAGAGGGGCCCCTCTTCCCGTTTTATAGGTAAGCTGGGCTTGGGGGCCCCTGGGGGCCCCCCAGGGGCCCCCGGGGGCCCCTGCGGCGGCGTCGCAGAGGCAGGCTGTGCTGCGCTGCTGCTGCTGCACTGCGGCCGCTGCTGCTGCTGCTGCCACCTGCGGGGTGTCTGCTGCTGCTGCAGCAGCTTTTTATATTTCGCTTTTATTTTCCCAATTATTAATTTCTTCAGTTCTAATTTGTACCTTTCTGCTGTCGTGTGCGCACAGGGGCAGGTTTGGGGTCTGTGGCCAACGCAGCAGCAGCAGCACACACTAGCAGCAGCAGCAGCAGCAGCAGCAGCAGCAGGTGCCGCAGCAGCAGCAGCCGCAGCTGTCTTCTCTCTCCGTCTTTCGCCCAATCTCTCCGTTGCAACGGGCACTTCTTGCCAGCTCGCCTGCCAACGCAGCTTACGGGCCTCCTGCCACAGCAGCAGCAGCAGCAGCAGCAGCAGCAGCAGCAGCAGCAGCAGCAGCAAGCCTTTGCCGTGTCGTTGAGGGCAGCGAAGATGACGACAGCGACAGCAGCGCCGAGCACGTCGGTGGCGGGTTCGGTCACGGCCACGACGACAGCAGCAGCAGAGAAGCCGCAGCAGCAGCAGCAGCAGCAGCAGCAGCAGCTGCTGCTGCGCCCCACAAAAGCCCCCAAGGAAAAAAGAAGACTCGACTACAAACCCACGGACTTCCTCATTGACAATGTGGACCTTTGCTTCCAGCTCGACGCCGACGAGACAGTGGTGAGTTGCTGCAGCTCTGAAGCCAGCAGCAGCAGCAGCAGCAGCAGCAGCAGCAGCAGCTGCTGCTGCTGCTGCTGGGGCTGCTTTAGTTCGCTGCTGCCGCAGCAGCAGCAACAAACTAGATAGTAGCAGCAAGGCGACGGATAACGCTTAACAGGAAATGGCGGGCTAGTGCGCGCAGCCGCAGCAGAAACAGCAGCAACAGCAGCAGCAGCAGCAGCAGCAAGTGCTGCTGCTGCTGCTCTTTAGCCAGTGCTGCCGGTTCACCAGCCCCCACCTCAGCAGCAGAAGCAGCAGCAGCAGCAGCAGCAGCAGCCTCCCTGGCGGTCCCGAGCAGCAGCCGCGGCACCCCCACATCCCCCCCTCACCAGCAGCAGCAGCAGCAGCAGCAGCAGCAGCAGCAGCAGCAGCAGCAGC